GGACCATTTTCCTGTGATTGAGATTCAAAATTCAGTACAAATGCAGGGGCTGACACTCAGCATTGCTGAAGGGGCAGGGCAAAAGGAATAAGTCCACCAATCCATAGACAATCACAATGAAAATCACTGTATATATACAATTTACATATATATATATGTCTATGGGAATCATTGATTGATTATTTCAAACGAAATGTGATATTGAGTAAGTGTTGTTTAGTGAGTGAAAGAGTGTGCTGTTTAATTACTCACACTTTTCCTTCATTATTCATTTATTGCACACATTTTCTAATTTTCACATCGAAATTCGAGTAAAAATTTCAGTAGGTTTAAAAACAAATGTAAATCTCATAGACCTATTGTCTATGGTGTGAACATTTTAATTTGTATGACTGAATAACTTCAGTAGTTCGGTGTAGTATATACATGGTAATAGTAAGGCTGCCCATGGTGAAATGAACCTTTATATACATATTCTCAATAAACAAAAGGTTGAAGATATTTGGTAAGTTGGATTCTGGAATGAAGGGCTATCAAGTTTGTTCAACTGTATGTCCATTTTTGATTTGTAAGGTCACATAGGTCAAATGTGTTTAAATCTGCTGAATCAAAGATACTGATATTTTGCCAGCAGCTTTATTTTAGTCAACTTAAAGTGTGTGAGATTAATACCATGTGAGAGATACAGGCCCATTGGGCCTCTTGTAACATTTTATCATACATTAATATGGATCATCCATAAAAATGTAACAGGAGCAGACAAATGAGTTGGAGTTTGGAGCTGGGAGGTAACCGGGAGCCAACAATCGACCAAGTCGAGTTCTTTTACATTAATTTGTCCCTTCTTTTTCTACGTTTTCGCCCCCAAAGACACAACTTTTCACAAGCCAAGCGTACTCCTAATGCTTGAAACAAGGGTTGGTCACAGGCACCAATAGAACCGTAGTGGAAAAATGCATGTCCAGACCAGGGTTTGAACCCGGGACCCTCCTAACTCTAGACAGACGCTTTACCAATTGAGCTACCTGGTCACCAATTGCAACGATCGACCCAATCCAGTTCCGCTACAATACATTCACAACAAACACACCTTTAAGCAGTGTTGGTATCTATCAAACTTTTGACAAGCAATTGCACATCTACAAACCTTATTTGATTTCTCTTTTATTGGAAGCATCCTTAAGTGGTGATGATTTAAAAAGTGTAAATGGAGGAAGTTACCCCTCTTCAGAGGGGCAAGATGGCGCTAAATACACAGAAGGATATCATAAGTCATCTATGTAACAGTATCTTTGATTTTATTTTATTGATCACACGACGGGGAAATAAAACATGATGTTGCCCTTGGCTGTTTGTGTATCACCAGCTGTATTTCACAAATGTGGAACCTCTCTAGAAAGATAGAGGTACCACATCTAAGTTTGGAGTTGCTGATACAGATGACAACACTGTTTGGAATCCTGGTTATTTTACCCGGGGGCCCCCCGCAACGAAGTTAGGGGGGTATACTGGAATCAATCTGCCTGTCTGGATGTCTGTCGAAAGGAGTTACGGCCCTTTATGAGAAATAACTTGTCCGGAAAACTCCATCTTAACTAACAGGCAGATTTTATTTCAACTTCACTTGAATTATCAGTATATTATGTAGTTGTGTACTGGCATTTTAATTTCAGATTTCATCGCTTTTGAAAGGAGTTACGGCCCTTTATGAGAAATACTCCATCTTAACTAACAAGCAGATTTTATTTAAACTTACTTGAATTATCAGTATATTATGTAGTTGTGTACTGGCATTTTAATTTCAGATTTCATCGCTTTTGAAAGGAGTTACGGCCCTTTATGAGAAACAATTTGTCTGGAAAACTCCATCTTAATAAACAGGCAGATTTTATTTAAACTTCACTTGAATTATCAGTATATTATGTAGTTGTGTACTGGCATTTTAATTTCAGATTTCAACATTTTTTAAGGGAGTTGCAGCCTTTTATGTGATATAATTTGTCCGGAAAACTCCATCTTAATTAACATGCAGATTTTATTGAAACTTCACTTGAATTATCAGTATAGGATGCAGTTGTCAAACATTGCCTATACCTAAAAAGCCACAATATCTCAAACGAGTTCCCATTCCAGTAAGCTGACTCCCAGCATCTGTGGGGGGTATTAGTTATCCTCCGGATGATAGTAATAGTTTAGTGTTCTATATTAATAAAGTACATTTTTTTTTATTGCGCATTAGGGAAGAGGGATTCTTTGTTTTGCCTCAATAAATCATGATTCACCCAGACTTGGCCCTTGTGAATTTCGTTTCCCTACCAGAAGGCCAATAAATGTATTGTATGGGGGAGGTATTATCATCTGTCTGTTGACAAAAGAATTTAAATAAAAATATGAATTGAAGAACATGTACTTCAACAATTTCAAAGATACTTGGTACATACATTGTACATATATAATGCTTTAATTGAGGGGAATGAATTTTTGAAAATATAAAATTGCTTGCAGTGCGCATTCTGAACTAATGCACTGATTTGATCGGTATTTATTACATGGAGGCCTTACAACAAAATATAACAAATGGAGGTACCTATCATGAATTGTATGAGGTGACGGTCATGCTACATGCATGGGAACTAAGTGTCTGGATCAAATCGTGGAATGGTTTAGATCTCAACCGTTGGCTGGGACTGCTGATTCCTTAGGATTTAGTCTCTCGGTCATAACATGTAAATGGTAGAGACAGTCAATGAAACACTATTACTATGTAATTTCTGTATAAAAAGATGGATACACAAGTGCATTCAGGGTTCAGCCTCGCCCCTGAGGACTTAGCCAAGGCTCAAAATATTGAAATACAATTTGAGATTCCAACCCTACAACTAAACATTGGCATGAAGAAACAAACAATCATTGATGTACCATTGGGTCTAGCCCAATCATTATATTTATTTGCCCAGAATGACTTTTAATGAAAATGTTTTATCACGATTGCTTAAATATCAAAGCGATCTTTTTTTTGTTAACAAGAAAATAGAGCAAGGCATTAAAGGAAATTAATTAGTTTGGACAAACTGTGGGTGATCACTGCAATATAAACACACAATAGTGATGGCGACAGATGCAAAAACTGAACAATCTTAAATGCACACGTTCTGTAATTCTTTGAACGCCTCTGTCCCGTTAAGAGTAAAACTGGCAACAAATAATCACTGTGACGTGTTGACTTATGTTTCAACTATAAATAACACTTTAATTTGAACGTACTTGAATATATCTATATGTTTATACTTGATGGCAATATCGGATACCTAACAAAGGAAGACATAACCCTGTCTGCCTATAGATTTCATTTCATAATGAAACAGTTAATGCAGAAAAAGGACAATATTATATATATTATGTTTCGGTTAGCTTGTAATAATAATAATAATATACGCAATTTGATATAGCGCCCTATCTAGCTAGAATAAGCCACTCTAAAGCGCATATAATGGAGAAGGGCGGAAATTAAAGCTCTCGATGTCGAGAAATCGACCCCACCTAACTTTCTTGCATCAAAAACCACATTTCTATTTGTTGTACTAAAAAATGCTTGTTTTTTGATGCAAGAAAGTTAGGTGGTGTCAATTTCTCGACATCGAGAACTTTCCGCCCTTCTCCATTATGTGATCATTGGGGGTGGTATTTTTACCGAAAATCGATCTAACA